CACCTAAGCGGACAGTGTGCATGTATTTCAAAAGACCGGCAATGTCTGCAGGATGAGCAGAAGTGTAAATAGATATGAAAACTGTAAACGCATCTGTCCACATATCAATATCAACAATCTTGGGATTCTTGATTTTACCCTTAACAACAAGCTCCCCGTTTACAAGCGAAAAAAGTTTGGCCTCATCTAAGGGAGCAGGTTTAGCCAGCAATTGACCAGGATCAACAAACTCATTGTTAATAATTTTTTGACAAACCGCTGAAACAACATTTCGTCCTAACTCGTCACTTACACTGGCCACTTGGTGAGCTCTAGGATCGAATAGGTCATTACATAAATTGTTTGATTGTTGAGAACAGGCAGTATCAACATTACTAGTGTGACAAATTGACAAATTAGAAGTTTGGGGCGAACTGGTATCATTACCTGACGGCTGTACAGCCATCCGAGGCTCGATAGCCTGATGCACGGCCTCCACCAGCTGAGGTGCCAGCCTAGTTGACACCTGCTCGATTACGTCTTCCAGCTGCTGTGGGGACAGGGGTCCTCCCTCTCCTGGCTGTTTAGAACTAGAAGGCCTCTCATGCTGCTCACCACTACCCCGGGCTCCAGCTGCTGGCCGGCCTGAATATGGGCTGGACGATGGCCGTCTCGACTTTCTGACCCATTTTCCTCTCACACTGAAAACCCCGGCCGTAACCACAACACAAAACGCTGCAGACAAAAAGCCTGTCTTCCTTCCCTGTGGGATTGTGTGAAGACCTCCCGGAAGAGTTAAATGAGATTTGGAAAATTAAACTGTAAATTATGAACAATCTAATCATTTGCTTTAAATGTATGGCTACTATTTCCTATCTCCAAAGCTGAAGATTTCTCTAGGAGCAAAGTAGGGAGGTAACTCCTATACAAAAAACTCTTATTTTGTTAAAGTTTTGGACAAAAATTGAAGTAACTAGAAGCCAAATACTGTTTTCAATATTTAAATTTGACTTTTTGATGGTTGACATGATTTAGGTGGGTTACAAGAAAGCTGGCTTGAGCACAGAATCCATGCTTGAGCATGAGAACGGTTTCATGAATACGGGCCAAGGACAATTGAACAATAGGTCGGGCTTACTGTACATCGCCCGAAGTGATCAACTGTCCACTCCAGGTAAAATTTTCACACCTCGCTTCCTCCCCGTCAATGGTAAACAATAGATCGACCATCGCTTTCTAGTAATAACATAACATGTGCAATAGTCAATTGCTATCTAATTTACACTGTATGACTGTGTATGAAATGGAAATGATTAGATCAATCTGATTAAAATCATCTTTTTCATGGCTCCGTTGACCTACCGACATTTTCTGACAAAAAATCTGATAAGAAAACGTGCTCCTTCCATTGACATTAACGGTTGCCTTGACACATCAAGTGAGAAAACATGCCGATTCAATGAAAATATTACTCCAGAAGGAAGGTGTGTTTTTAATCATTTAAGCAATGGTTTCTCTAAATCGGGGCATGCCGTCCTAACAGCATGGTGCAAGAAATCGATCCAAAGTAAACGTTATGGTCGTAAACAACTGACGACGACTGCATTATTTACAAATATACACCATTTTCGTTGAAAAGAATATTTGATTATTGTTAAAAAAGAAATATTTGTGTTTTTAGTTGTAATTGTTTCTATGCAATTTGATTTCACCGCACGAATTGCGAGGCATGTGATTGTCATATGATCGTAATTAACATAGCGCGGCAAAATATTATGACGCTTATTGGCCAAAATATAACTAACTTCTTGGTGCAAAATAGGTAAATCATGACTATTTATATCACTTCGTTCATCTTATTGACTATTACATTACGATATCGTTAGCTAGGATGAAGAGCATAACGATAGTTCTTATAGTTCTTGCTCGAAGTGATTTTAAAGTGAAAGTAGAATATATATCCCAATTTAGACTGGCGCATCCTTGGCCAAGGGGACTCAATTTTGTATAAACGGTGGGTGTGGTGGGTGTGCCCCCCCCCCCCCCTCTGGGGACAGAGGAGTGTTCGAATAGGGGAAATAGAAGTAAACCTATAAAATCCTTCTTCTACCATAGGAATTAAGGAATTGCATCTAAATTAGGTATGTAGCAGCCTTCCCTGCGGGCAAAGGAGGGGGGCCAAAAAGAGGAAATAGAGGTAATATTTTTTGAAACCTTCCTCTCAGTAGGGATTAAGGGATATTATCCGAATTTAGACGGGAGCATTCTTGGTTGGGTCATTTTTTTTATAAATGGTGGGTATGCGGTGGAATTACGGGATTTTATCCAAATTTTGTTTTTATCAAGTTATCTAGTAGTACCTGTTACTATTAGGGTGTATTCATTAAAACAAGATGGCCACCAGGCCGCCTTTTCGGATTTTTACATTTGAAGCGAGTATGTTCTCGCTATATCTCCAGAAATACTGGATTGATATTTCTGAAATTTAAAATGTGCATACAGTACCAGCCATGTACCTGCCATGGGGTGCTATATCTAAACCTCATATCAAATTCTATAAACATATGCAGGTGAGCGGTGAACTGCCAGTTTTAAATGCAGAATCGAAATGCACATTTCATTTTGAAATCATGGGTTGACTAACGATGAAAACGCTTTGAAATTTGCCGAAAAATATGTGCGAACTTATTCTTTTAGGTAATAAAATCAGGGGTGGGCTTTATAAAAAATACACATTCCCAATACTATCAACAGATAATGTACAGTCAGACCGGGATTTAAACCTTAGACCTCTGGGGTCTGGATGACCACTAAGCAACTGACCTATTTGGTCACAGAGGATTGACCTAATCCAGTTCCTTTGGGATATATAGTAAAACCTCAATATAATGTCTCTTTTTTCATTTGCCATGTCACTTACTGCTAGCATATTTCCATATTTTTCTGTTTTATCTCAGAATTCCTTAATATGTGTCACTCTAAAACTGCTTTATAATTCCAAACTTTCTGTGGACAAATGGTGGCAGTATAATGAGGTTTTACTGTATACGTATATGATACACAATGGGTGAACGAGATAAAGAATCATTCAACTCCTTGGGGTGAGATAGTTTAATATCAACCTTTGGGGAAAGATTCATTAATTGCCAAACACTCGGCAAAGCCCCTATCTCAAGTAACAATACCTCGCGACGTTATATTCCGGACTTGGACGCCATAGTTCATAGTGTTTTTTTCCAGATCTGAAATAGGAATAATGTAATCCTAAGAGAAACATATACTTTTTTGTCATTTGTCATTTTGCGCACATATCTGCCTCGTACCGAATCATGACACTATCACAGAACTTGTTGCAACATAACAAATAAATGAATAATCATATGATTCAAAACTCAGGAAATTTATTAAAGTGTCACACATCAGATATAATACAAAATGGATTAAAACATACAATCTATCTGTCTCGGGTCTAAGATCATCGTTGAGACCTAGAAGAACGAAGCATCTGTATCTAATACCGACTTTTTTTGCAATCACATTTGTGTGTGTGTTAATCATTAAAGATACAAGATGGTAGACTCTGCTGGTGGATTTCCTAGTCCCGAACGTTTGCTGTAACCTTGATAGCCACAGTTATTTCTTTTGAGTAATGTCTCGGTACATAATATACACACTTTAGTAGTGACACGGTACGTAATATACACATAATATACACATAATACACACATAATATGCACACATAATATACACACATAATATACACATAATATACACAAACACTCATGTAAAGTTTCGTTGAATTTCGCCCTAAAATTTTCGAGAAACATGTCGGAAACCTCGTCGACGGAAGAAAGTGGAAGAAATAATAATAATAATAATAATAATAATAATAATAATAAAATAATATATATGAAACGGAGCAAAAACATTATGTTCCCAAACTTTGTTAGGGGGACATAATAAATATCTTCCGAATAAAAATATCACGTACGGGAATAAATTAATGTTGTCTTATAGCAGAAGGAATGTATGATTGCACAAGTTATTACAATATTTTTATTTCAAAGATACTTGTTGACGTCAATTCCACATCAAAAATTCTGTTTAGAGAATATATCATGATGTATAAACCTTATATCATTTGATAAGCCTGAAAATGATATTTTTCTAGGTTTTAAAAGTAATTAAATGTCCTAAAATAATTGGAGATAAGAAGTTGAATAAATAGATTTTAAGCAACATATATACCATAAAGATGTGATCTGACTGGTATATATCGGCTTCAGACATAGTTACTAGGAACTAATGATTTAATAAGTACGTGATTGGTACGCCACATTGTCAAATTCCTGTGTTGATTTCGAAAATTCTGTGTCATCTCGACCTTTCGCCTTGCTTTTCTTCCAACAGAAGCACCTGACGAGAACGATGAACACCAGAATAACGATGATGAGTGTAAACACGGATGCAATACCAATCGCCACAGGGATTAACCAGGAATCTAAAATACGAAATATGCATAGTTGGAATAAAGTGTTTAAATGTATCAATTAAGCCTTTATTCGTTACCTACTTAAATACTGATAATTACAGATAAAATTTCGAGCATAAACCATTCGGCATTATATCTTAAATGTCTAGTACTGTAGTATATACGATAAAATGACCAATTTGAGGAAAAAAACTGAAGTTGTTCTGTATATGTTACTGTTGAAATAATAATTACTCATCTGAATATCAAATACGAGAAAATTATAATGGATACAGCTTTGTTATGCATAAATTGTTTGACAAGAACCACCCACAACGTTTATGTATGTGAACTTTGACAAAACTATCAATTATTAACATCCCTTACATGACACAAATGAAGTATACTATGTAAACTCTTTTTGATTATGAAAAAATCGTTTTGAAATTATCAAGACAATTATTTATTATATTAGGAATGTCCTCTTTATAGCGCTGAACAACTTACGAATTATTTCAGCCTGTGAGGTCAAGGTCAATATTGTACTTACTAGATCCGGTCGCTTCCGTGGTTGGGTCAATTGTTGCTTTTACTACTGCAAACAAAGATTTTGAAAAATTTACATGGAAGCCATGTTATATTTAAAAATGTACTAAAATTTAAAACGAACCGTGACCTCAGCTGTAGGGTTAGCCGAAAGACTAATAATCGAGTAACAAAAGCATAACACAACCAAACTACACATAATATCAATACCTGAGGGAACACAGTAGCTCTGGCTGGCATTCCAATGACCTTCTGTGTTACATGTTATGTGACCGGACCCTTGGAGCTGTGCATCAGAGTTGCAAATAAGTTTGCCCGTGTCGTCAACATCTACACCACTGATATTCCACTGTCCATGTTCCACAGCCGGCGGAAACCCACAGGTTACAGCTGTAAGCAACCAAACACTGTATACAATCTTGGAAACCGAAATAAAATAGTCATCAATGTGTTTATAACTTTGATTGTTTACTTATATTTATTTATCCACAGATGAGATTGGTTATGCATTGTGTATAGTCAGTAACATGCAATACAATAGTCAATAGCATATTTAAGACGGTTTAGCGCATCAATTTATCAATACAATAGTAATAGGCAGCAGTATATTAAGTAAGATTTACCAAATAATCTAAGTGGAAACTTGCTAACCGAATTGTTGAAAGATGAAATAATTTTAGTTTATATATTATAATCATCAAATTCCCCTTCATTAAGCAACACACAATCCAGGGTTCTCACATACTTTTACGAGAGATCTCTTGAAGCTTGGCTAAGGTATGGGTGGACATGCGTGTGGATCTCGCCATGGTATTGTCCCCTGTGACGTAGTAATCATAGTAACAAAATGTGTCGTTTCCACATAACTCTCGTGTGGCATTATCAACGGCTGATACGGGAACATCAAATACCGGCGAAAAAGTCTTGTCCTGGACAGAGTCGTACGAGGTTCCTACTGCATAAGTAAACAAAGATTCGTCCTCTGTGATTCGCCCTGTCATAATGTAGAAAGAATAAATGCAAAAACCTTAGAGAAATCTATACCACGGAAACAACTACAAGCAAACCTATAAACATTAGGAAATATAAGTACTCATTAACCATGCGCCTAAAATGATCTTCGATCAAATACCAGAGTCTGTAAAAATGGTAGCTTCTACTCCTGCTTAGCGCTCAGCAATTTAGGAGTTGGACGACTAGTTCGCCCGTGGTCAGTATGATGTGACCGGGCGAGGTGTTCTGCTGGGCGTCTTCGACAGTATGTTTCAGTGAGGTAGCAAAATAAAGTCGGCATCAGTTCCGCTCTATCACAAGGAGACAAACACGAACATATCGCAGCCTCCCAAAACACACGCATTCACTACACGCATGCATCTTGCACACAGGCCATAGCTGTTGATAGGACGTTAAAAAATACTAAACCGAACCAAACCAAATCGAACAAATACGTGTATTGTAAATGCAAACAAGCGAAACGAGAACATATTTTTATTGGCTAAGTATGGGTACATGCAATCATTTTTTACTATTGAAAATTTACTTTTTGCAAACGAATAAATAGAAAATGTTACATTAAGGTGTCTTTAAATAGTATTTTTGATGGAGTGATCTTGTATGAAACGTATCATGTATGATTGCTGTTAACCATCTACCACATTTAACCACCGAATGACAACTGTATATGAAGATTGTAGTGTTTTGAGACTCAGAATTAAAAATCGGATTTTGTTGCCTTACAACCTTAATATTACGATATCCAAGTGAAATACTGCAACTAGCATTTTATATTCTGAAATAATCTTGAAGTAATTCTTGTGTCAGTGTCGAATGACATGACTTTGCTATTCATCAGGGATTCAACATAAATTACAGCATTCGCACCACGTACATGACATGCCCATCCTGTTGTGTATAACTTCGGTAGACGAATTGGAGGGTAAGACATCGCCAGTTTGGGAAACCAGGTCATCCTTAGGATCCTGGTTTAAATTTCCGAGTAGTCCCTCGATACTACCTATAAAAAACATGGCGAAGATATATAAAAGACTGTATATGAGTTTTGTGAAGATTTTGTCAATAAAACCCCATGGCGCATACACATTATAGCTGTGCTAGGAGTCCCGTAATAGTGTTGTTAATAGAACACCATGGTATACATACATTACAGACTGGATTGAGGTACCGCATTAGATAAAGCAAAGAAAAACATGGCACAAATATATTATAGACAAGATAAGAGTTTCACATTGATAATGTAGTTAATGTAAGTAAAACAATAAGCCATACATACGTTATAGACTATAGTGTATATCGTACACTAATAACTTCAAAAATGATTAAACAGGATATGCATCACCACGCCGGTGCTCAAAGTCGCTACAAATAATTAATAGCAGGAACTAAAAAGTCAACAAAGCAGACGACAAAACCTGGTAAACTCTCAGTAAATAGTGTTTACGAGGCCCTCGTCATACATTTTATCATAATAGACCTCGACCTCGCCGATACAGAGTGCAGGCCGTATTTATTTAACGTTCCACTTGTTAAATCAATAGGTTATTTCTATTTAAATAAAGGAATCTAACAGGTCATGAATGATCTTAGATACAGTAAACGTCGCCAGAACTAAAACATGTTATAGATCTGTGTTAGACGACTTATTTATAAAGACCTTTATACAATTATGGACTTCAGGTGAGGACTATCCCTGATTTACGAACCTGGTCTGAATAATATTCACAGAAGCCGAAGGCCGAGGTGAATATCGTTCCGACCAGGTCCGTAAATCAGGGATAGACCGAAAGTCCACAATTGTTTTATTATATGACATTTAACAATGAGATTATGTTTTTTGTCGTAAACACATGGATGGCATGGACCATTTTGGAATCACAGAGTGAAGGACTTCAAATACAAAATAACATACACAAAAATTGAATTTCAGATTCAATTCATGTGCTATTTAATTTCAATTAAATATTATTTGTACAATCGACATCATCAATATTCACATAGTTCAGAATTCGATGAGATTATTCAATTGTAGTTCAATTCAGCAGTGTAATTGGTAACAGAAATACAGACTGGCTCGGGGATTACCTAGGCCTATTTTTAGTAGCGGTCTGCAACATTTTTCTATTTATAGGTCGAGTTCTGTAACATTTTTCTATTCATAGAACGAGGTCTGTAACAGATGATTTGATTGCAATTGGCTGTTAATCGATGACTGGGAAATTACCAAGTTTTATTTTTAGTAGCGGTCTGTAACACTTTTCTATTTAAAGTTCGAGGTCTGTAACACTTTTCCATTCACAGAATGAGGTCTGTACCATATTTACAGACTCGTCACATGACGTCGCTCCTCCAATCAGGGCTGGGAATTAGCACCAGTCATATAATAATGTGTAAGACGGTAGACATTTTCAGTTGTGAACGTTAACTCAGGTTTGTTGACTCTTACCTCGCTTCACACCTTGGCCAAAACTAACGACGTAGTTCAAAAACGACCCATAAATCAGTATCTGGAAGGCAATGTCTTGCTCCGGAAAAGCAACGTTGACTTGTTTCGTATGATTATTTGTTGTGGAAGGATTGTCGAGTATAGAAATGATTACTCCTAAAAATTATAAAAAATAAACTGTTATGTATAACTATCTTCTCCATATATGTCATATATATTATCTGTTGTATGTCATATCTTGAAAGAGTAACTTTTATAGTGATATGAATGCAATCATATTCCTACAACAACGTAAGAGCTTAGCTTCATATTTAATGTTTACCAACGTATTATATTGGCACATACTTTGTGCATTTTCTTTATTTGGCACCTATTGTTTTGTTGTCGTAGGCAATGACACTAAAATATTTGTAATACATGAAATATTCGTGATCTTTTCACGGTTTTCTGTTTATAAACACGTTTTCATGATAGCCTATACCACAGAAACTTGAGTCAAAGGTTTCCCCCCATATATTTGCTGTTCTGGAGTTGGCAGTCCTAGTCGCAACTTTTACATGAAAAAACATGTTCTGCAGTAATCGGATTTGTAATAATGACCTTCGTTCATCTATATTAAATCCATTTAATGAAAAACTTGCCTGTATACCAAAGGAACACTTGCCTGTATACCAAAGGAACACTTGCCTGTATACCGAAGAAACACTTGCTTGTATACCGAAGAAACATTTGCCTGTAAACCGAAAGAAGCACTTGCCTGTATACCAAAGAAACACTTGCCTGTAAATCGAAGAAAAACTTGCCTGTATATCAAAGAAACACTTGCCTGTATACCAAAGGAACACTTGCCTCTATACCAAAGAAACACTTGCCTGTATACCAAAGAAAAACTTGCCTTAATACCAAAGAAACACTTGCTTGTATACTGAAGAAACACTTGCCTGTAAACCGAAAGAACACTTGCCTTTATACCAAAGAAACACTTGCCTTTATACCAAAGAAACACTTGCCTGTATACGAAAGAAACACTTGCTTGTATACCAAAGAGCCACTTGCCTGTAAATCGAAGAAACATTTGTCTGTATACCAAAAGAACACTTGCCTGTATATCAAAGAAACACTTGCCTGTATACCAAAGGAACACTTGCCTGTATACCAAAGAAACACTTGCCTGTAAACCGAAGGAACACTTGCCTGTATACCAAAGACACACTTGCCTGAATACTAAAGAAACACTTGCTTGTATACTGAAGAAACATTGCCTGTAAACCGAAAGAACACTTGTGTGTATATTAAAGAAACACTTGCCTGTATACCAAAGAAATACTTGCCTGTAAACCGAAAGAACACTTGCCTCTATACCAAAGAAACACTTGCCTTTATACCAAAGAAACACTAGCCTGTATACGAAAGCAATACTTGCCTGTAAACCGAAGAAACACTTGCCTTTATGCCAAAGGAACACTTGCCTCTATACCAAAGAAACACTTGCCTGTAAACCGAAGAAACATTTGCCTGTATACCAAAGGAACACTTGCCTGTATACCAAATAAACACCTGCCTGTAAACCGAAGAAACACTTGCTTGTATATCAAAGAAACACTTGCCTGTATACCGAAAGAAGCACTTGCCTGTATACCAAAGAAACACTTGCCTGTAAATCGAAGAAACACTTGCCTGTATATCAAAGAAACACTTGCCTGTATACCAAAGGAACACTTGCCTCTATACCAAAGAAACACTTGCCTGTATACCAAAGAAAAACTTGCTTGTATACTGAAGAAACACTTGCTTGTATACTGAAGAAACACTTGCCTGTATACCAAAGGAACACTTGCCTGTATATCAAAGAAACACTTGCCTGTAAACCGAAGGAACACTTGGCTGTATACCAAAGAAACACTTGCCTGTATACCGGAGGAACACTTGCCTGTATACCAAAGACACACTTGCCTGAATACTAAAGAAACACTTGCTTGTATACTGAAGAAACATTGCCTGTAAACCGAAAGAACACTTGTCTGTATATTAAAGAAACACTTGCCTGTATACCAAAGAAATACTTGCCTGTAAACCGAAAAAACACTTGCCTGTATACCGAAGGAACACTTGCCTCTATACCAAAGAAACACTTGCCTTTATACGAAAGAAACACTTGCCTGTATACGAAAGAAACACATGCCTGTAAATCGAAGAAACATTTGTCTGTATACCAAAGGAACACTTGCCTGTATACCGGAGGAACAATTGCATGTATATCAAAGAAACACTTGCCTGTATACCGAAGGAACTGGACGTCTGTAATGTCCTCCAACACACCGTTAACCAAAATATCAAATCCCCGGATGGAGTTGAGCCTAACCTCTACACGATCTGAGGCATTCGCTGCGTTTGCGACGACAGATGTTATCACACTTCCTTGATTGCCTGGAATTAAATTGACTAAATAGTTATCTTCGAAACACAGATTGTATATAAATGTTTATCTGTGATGGTGTGAATATGCTAGATAAACGTTGTGTTATTCACTCTCAGTCCGCCTTGATTACGGACGTGATACAATGTAATTAATGTACGTATATCTAAACGATTTATACTTCTTATATTTACAAAAAAAAAATAAAAAAATACATTACTGACATAAATAACTTAAAACATCAAAGGGATATGAATTTAATTACTAAAATGTTTTTAAACATTTTCTTCAGGTTGGTAAGTATGGATTATGAAAAGTTCTCGCAACCACTATTTTTTCTATGTGACGTTTCCATGACTAGTACGATATGTACACTGTCACCTTCATCGGACAAATGACCAGTGAAGCGTATGCACACAAAGGTGTAAAGTGTGTACGAGTTATCTACAAACTTGATGTCGATTTAGGCTACGCTGTAAGCGTATGTACAATAGTTGTTATATATGTTATATATGTACCGAAATGACTCGATTCAGCTACGCTTTGTTTAATACTTGGTCATAGATGTGCGAGAGTCTTTGAGACCTACCTCTCGATTAAGAACTGGCCCAAAATTACTAAAATGGTTCTGAAATGATTCATTATATCACGAATGAAGAGTACATAGTAAAACACATTACAGTATCAAAGGCAAAATAGCCGTCATTGTCAATAAGAGCAGGTGATCTTTACCTATAATATATTAGTTAACGTCACTTTTACCAGAAATATTATTCAATAACATTTAATTTTACACATGTAAAGTGCAATTGGAATGTCACTATAAGGAAAGTAACTGAATTATACCTCAGTTAACAATTCGATAAGTATGAGCGTATAAAAAAAAGGCAATTCTTACCGGTGGTACCAAGAGACTGCATCCTGACCTGAGCTATGAAAGTGTTGGTTTTCGTTTTAAATAATGTGAACTCCCCTACTCCATTGAATGTGTAAGACAGACCATCCGGTGTCACAAAATGGGGATCGCCAAAGTTTTGTGCTGAAATATTATAAAGGTCTCTAAATGAGGACGCAACTGAATATACATACCATACCATAGGATGCACTTTATGACATTTGTATTTGTTCATCTATTATAACCTAAGGTAGCGGTGAATTTTAAGTTGGACAAATTCGTGGTTCATTGAGTCTTGTTTAATCTTATCATCGATAAATGTAAATCATTATAAAATGTTATTGAGACAGAAATATTTATAGATTTATTTTGTTAAAATTGATAAATTGGAAATTAAGAGGAATATAATAATGTCATACGCAAACAAAGACTAGATTGCCCATCTTTGATTATAAAATAAGCCATTAATTATCTTCAAAATGTCATTAATTATGAGAGATACATCCGTATTCAGCTTTGTCAAAATCGACTTTAGGGAAGCTAAAAGAGAGCCAAAAAAAAACACTTGCTTTTCAAAGCAGCGCAAACAAAAAAACTTATGGCTAAACGATGATTATTTTTTGCCAAATATGGTAAAAAAACAAAAATTCCCAAACATGTGCAGCTGGTAAGGAGTCGAAAATATTTCAGCCCTATTTTACTCTGTTGTGCCCTTTTGCTCATGGTATTGTTGAAGTTCTATACTAGAATTAAAGTGAAGAATTTCCAATTGTTTACCACCAGCATTTACAGAATGGAAAATAGCAAGAATATAGCTTATATTTCAACTGGGAATGTTGTGTTATTTGATATATAGAATTCAAGGATATAGATATTTGGAAGTTAATTGATAAATATAAAAGACGTTGCTTTACCTGGCGTATTTGGGACATACTCATTGCAGTTTCCAGGCGTACGTCTCTGATGAAATCTGTAACACTCACTCGGAACATCCGACTGAAAAAGGTGAGGATACGCACAACAATGGTAGTAGGGGGCCGTATCATAAACAATGTTTGACAGATACGGAACTGCGTCATCTGTATCACCGAAGTAGTGATAACGTTGTAGTGATCCACCACCGGACGAGGTCAGCATATTCATGATGCTTCCATTATCGTCATAGCAACACAGCTGTCCCGTTCCTCTTGTTCTATTAAAACAAAGGCACGCCCAGTGAAACTATTAAGTCGATCATGTAAATGTAATAACAAATTAGAATAATATCGTTGGTACCAAACGTGACCGAAAAAGTGTGCATCATGTGGAAAAATGGAAAACAAAATTACAGGATCGTTAATGCAAAAGGGTAAAATCAAAGGAAACGTTGTTTATGAAAAACAAACCCACTAAAAGTCTAGAAACCAAGACTTAAGAAGCGGGACTTAGTTACCATGTGATTAAGGATACTGTCAACGTGTATATTTGGGTGGTATTGAAATTTTGGATCTTTAACATTTTTCGCTGTAATAAGGTTGCGCAAATTAAAGTTTTTAAGTGAATAACTATTGCCACATACTTCTACTTCTACATATTGTACGTCTGTGGCTGATAAGCACATCTAACATTCCATCAATAGTCAATTATTTAATGACAGAAACATAAACTAAAGGAGAAAATATCAAATATTTCACTTTAGACGTTAACGTAAGGGACGTGATAAGATTAAAGTAATACATTATGTTTGTTATATGATGCACACAGACACAGAAGAAATATGCCTCCATCTTACCCGGGGGTGTTCAGTCGGAAGCACTGTTTGGCATGGGGATGGACCAGACAGTTGATTGACGTGTCAGCATCCGATTGTTGCGAACCGTCCGGGGACTGGCACATGGGATCGGGATGAAATCTAACAAGGTCGATCTCCGCTTGGTCAAGGCGACATGGACACACCTGCACATCTACTCCGGACAAAGATGGTAGCTGGTCATCTGTTGTTTGCCATCGCGTACAAGAGGCTTTAGATTCGGTGATATTTTTTGGTATAACAACAAAAGCGTCTGACCATACTCTCTGTCTTTGAGTTCTAAAAACAGATGGAAAAAGTACACCTTTTGCTAAAGATATTTCAATTATTTCAAAATTTTAACCATCGAAAACACCCAGTTTGTAGCAATTGTAAATTAAATGGAGTTTTAGATATACTGTGCAGTATAGAATAAATGTATTTATCAAATAATGTACTGTGTCATCCATGTGAATATACCCATGTCAAATTTTTTTGCGTATAAACCCATGGAATATGACCTATCAGCCTTGTGATTGGTTGTAAGTTTCAATTGTTTCAATTGTGACGTCACGCCTAGGACAACTACATGACGTCACAGACTTACGTACTGGAGTCAAAGTGGCGGCTTTTCACATTTGAAGGTTGTATGAAAATTGGCGATTTACACGAATAAAAAGCCACAAATCTTAATACTCGTTTTCATTTCATATGAAATTAATGAAACTCGTCACAAATTTTTCATTTTTTTGTAAGATCCTATATACATTTATATTCAACCGACTCATCACATGATGACGTTATCAGTTCAACCAACCGATGTATTATCACTCATTTGGCATCTAATTTGATGTCAGATTCAGGAAACGTACAGGAAACAAACATTCTGAGTCAATTTGCCAATGGCTTCAATCATATTGGACATATTGGAATCAAAGAGGTGTTAGTCAGCTGTTGCAAAGTATATACATCAAAACCAATGCAATGCACAGTAAAATAATAACTTACTGGTCGTTTCCCTGAGTCAGCTCTACCAAACTCAGGACAATGACGTCATCTTTAGTGTCAAGGGTAAGCGTGACTTCAGTTTGGATTGATTCTATGTACTGCACAGCCTTGCTATGATAATATATACGTGGTATGTGGTCCAAGTCGGGCTGTAATTGATCAAATGACGTACAGAGCAAATTATTTATGACATCTTTTCTCATTGGAGTCAACAATGTTTTAATGGAATATAACTACATTTTCGCAGAATGGTCGAGTAATATAGACAAAACAATTGAAAGTTCAGTTACCAGTCTTTCAATTTAGAACTCTCACGATATAACATATATAACCAATCATGTCAATGAATACATTTAAACTGCGTTCTTAACATTTAATTACACTTTTTGAGGCATTTGTCGCCTCTTACGATCATGCAGTGAGATACAGCAGGCGTATTCTTTTTTCGAACCTGCACATGTTTTGGTAAGCTGGAGAAATCGTAATATCTAGGAAATTGATTGATGTACATTGTGTCGAAAGTAGGATCGGACAAAATGAAAGACATTACTGTATATTTTCTTTTATCCAGCAGGAAATAGAATACTATTGTTTTGCAATATTTTTGTATTACTTTTATAGTGTAGATTTCCACGTAAGATCCTTCGATATCAAACGGGATGTGTGGAGTTGACCACGTCAAAGTAACTTCATCTCCTCTTCTCCAGTTAGACGGGTCTAGTCTTTGTAACACTGGTTTCATGTTTAAAGGATTCACTTCATCAAATAAAAATAAAAGACAACACTCATTGTATAGATGCTGTGTTGCTGACACTATTTTAGCACTGCTGTTTATACATAAGCATGATTATGAGGATTTCAAAATAAGATAATTAAAAAAATAACAGTTTATCACTCTATCCTTGAATTAATAGTATTCTGTCTAATCCCCATGCAACAAGATTTACAAAACATGAACCTATCCCGTCCAGTATATTTTTCAAATATCTTGTACACAACCCCTTTCTCATGGCATGATAGTAAAAACTGTTTGCCTACGCTCACCAGCTAAACAACCGCTCAAAGGATATATTTATTGATGCATTTGAATACTTTGAACGATTGCGTTGTCACTCAGTTCATTATAAATGCTTTAGGAAAAGGGACAACGCAGATATGCTCTCACTGTAGCTTAAACCTATAAGATATTTGACAGTTGAAATGTCAAAATAAGATAGACACGCCTACAGCGAAGCAATCCCGTAAGGTCACATGTTTTAAAAAAAAAAAAAAAAAACCAGTGACGTTACAATCATTTGTTTATTATTGGTAAAACGTTCACGGTACATGGTGGTCTTTTTTAATGGTAAATTTAATGCGAAAAGATAAAAAGATAACGAAAGCGTTAATCATCATAAGTTTATTATTTCACAGAAAACGTGCTGTGAGAAGTGATTGCAAATGACAGTTGATGTCGACATAGGTTAGCTACGACAATGTTCTTTACTTAATACTCACGTATAGTAATCATCCCTTCATATGTGGCGCTTTGCTGATTTGATGTCGTCACAGTCAACGCCACACTGACATCACCAGTGGTATAAAATATGGGTGTAACGCAGGCTACACTGAACTGGGAATGCATCACACAGTTTATAGATGAGGCTCCTCTCCCGAACACAGCTGTCAAGGTGTCGTTGGATTGGATGCATGGACCAGACAACAGCTTTTTCTCTCCGCCAAACATGTGGGAATATCGGGGTGATATAGTCAAGGTTCCTAGCACAAAATATTATATACATGCACTTTATAGTATTTTCCAATGTAAATTAACTGCTTTTATATCCTAAAAAAACAAAAGCTAGTAGGATAACTTAAGTTAAAATAGGCTTATCGAAAATTCACCACTGTGTCAACACACAACGCATTTACGGAAGTACATCATTTGCTGATACAAAAGTATAGACATCTTAAACTCAAACGAAAAGACGAAAGCCCGATTGTTGTAGGAATTCCCGCCTTTATACTTGGTGTACATAAAATGATAAATATTGAGTAGATTTATCAGTGCCATTTATCAAATAAACGAAATAGATCGTTATGATGCAGTGACTTAGTACTGACCTCCTGTGTTACAGCCGCCCTGTTCGATTGTCTCAGTGTCTATTCGGAACACAAACTTCCCATCCACATGTACGTTTGACAATCGAGGGAGATTGATTATAGCGTCTGTTCGTGATTCGTTGACAGCATAGTAATTAACGCCATCACCAGCATTGAATCCTACCTAAATACCCGAGAGTAAAAATGTTATAACAGTGAATCCTACCTAAATACCCGATAATAGATATGTTATAACAATGAATCCTACCTAAATATCAGGGGGTAAAAATGTTATAACAATGAATCCTACCTAAATACCCGAGAATAGACATGTTACAACAATGAATCCTACCTAAATACCAGAGAATAGATATGTTATAACAGTGAATCCTATCAAATACCAGAGAATAGATATGTTATTACAGTGAATCCTACCTAAATACCCGATAATAGATATGTTATAACAATGAATCCTACCTAAATACCAGAGAATAGATATGTTATAACAGTGAATCCTACCTAAATACCAGAGAATAGATATGTTTTAACAGTGAATCCTACCTAAATACCAGAGAATAGATATGTTATAACAATGAATCCTACCTAAATACCCGAGAATAGATATGTTATAACAGTGAACATTTTAAATGAAAAGTTGACGGACAGAAGGACATTTGAGAATCCTACCTAAAGCTAATAGATATGTTATTACAGTGAATCCTACCTAAATACCAGAGAATAGATATGTTATAACAGTGAATCCTACCTAAATATCAGAGAAAAGATATGTTATTACAGTGAATCCTACCTAAAAACCAGAAAGTTAGAATGTTATAACAGTGAATCCTACCTAAATACCCGAGAATAGATATGTTATAACAATGAATCCTACCTAAATACCAGAGAATAGATATGTTATAACAGTGAATCCTACATACAAAACAGAAAGTAAGAATGTTATAACAGTAAATCCTACCAAAACAGCAAGAGAGTAAGTATGTTATTACAGTGAATCCTACCTAAAAACCAGAAATTAAGAATGTTATAACAGTAAATCCTACCAAAAAAACCAAGAGAGTAAAAATGTTATAACAGTGAATCCTACCTAAAAATCCAGAGAGTAAGAATGTTATAACAGTGAATCCTACCTGAAACCCTATGCTATAACAAATGCTCAAAAAAATACTACTACTATGGAATATATGGTAAAAAACAGAACGCCATTTGCAGATGTTGCCTAGTAACATTTTAAATGAAAAGTTGACGGACAGAAGGACATTTGACATGGTGAAAGAAAAAATAAAAACATTAAAATAAATAAACTTAGTTAATTATTTTTATGATAGGATAAAGAGAAACCCAATGTATGCCTTAAAAACTCAGTAGAGAATATATAACGCTTGTAAGTTAATGGAAAAGAACTAAGGGTTTCCGAATAATGCGCTTTCTATACACATTTTACCTGAGCTGGTGTTCCTCCCAAACCCTCGGCGGGAGTACCGCCGCTAGCCGTTCCAGTCGTCCAAGTTATCTCATAATAGTTGTATATTGTGAACGAATGTCGACCATTGGTGATAAGAACAGCTTGAAAAGAATTTCTTTTCTAAATCGAATAAAAGAGATACATGTCTTTAAAACAATTTGTATATTACGGAATCTCATTGAAATATATGAAAAAATGCTTCCCTGTCAAAACCTTTGAATGTTTACAAACGCACACTGTTTCATATGTTTGATCTTGTGAAATATTATTTTCTCGTTTGTAATTAACGTTTTCAACTTATCTGCATAGTTTTAACTTCATGATTTGTATTTTAGCACTACGGTCAATACATTATTATTATTATTGTTGCCATTACCCTTAATACTGAACGTTATGTAGGGAATAACAACTACCATATTTGACGGAAGTTAGATATGCATTGATAAATGAATGTAAGACAATGTATCGCTATGTTCATAGACAACATTATAAGACACTTTACGTCTCAATGGTTGTCGTATGACTCTGTCCATATACCTTTCGGTATCAGTGAAAGATTATACATTAACCAAATGGGCCGGATGCCCGAGGGCTGTCATTAACTAAAGGGGCCGGATGCCCGAGGGCTGTCATTAACCGGAGGGACCGGATGCCCGAGGACTCTAAGGCCGATACGGAGTATGATATAGAAATTGTTATATGCTATCACATCTTTATCATAACACCTCTTAACATCAACATTAAATATACATGTTATTATTACTATAATCACATTCAACTTTAAAATAAAATAACAAAGTAAGAAGGATTGCCGTGTGTACAGTGCGTGCTTGTTTCAGTAAATGATATTTGGGTGTATATATTTTTCTGAAAAGTGTTTTTCCAGAAGTTAACCATATGTGGCGCGTGCTGGGCTTGTATGACGTGCGCCAGTCGGACATGGGTTGGTTCAATAATATCACGTACGTGCAAAACAACCCATATCGTGGACAAATATATGACAAAGAGCTATAATAATCTTGTCATGTCAAAGCATCCGGAAACCTATCTTTTTATTGTTTTATATGGCTAAATGGGTTTGTTTGTTGAAAGAGAAACTCAACCATCCATGTCTCATACATGTAATATTAATCTGTTTAAACGATCTACTGACATTCAAATTTTGTTATATCTGATGTAGCAGGTTCTCGTGAAATTCAAAACTCTAATCAATTTCAAAATTAAATAAACATTAGAAAATGTGTCGAATATAAGATAAAAAAATGTTCATAAAGCGTTAGTATAAAAGGTGTCTAACAATGACAAATCCAGCAGGCATAATAATAGCCTCGATAACAATGGGATGTCAACCCGAAAACAATACAATCTTCACCGTGCAGGCCTTCCTTATTGTTTAATGAGCTAATAGACAGTATACCCATTTTACTATTAAGTATTAACTAACTTGTACCTTTGGATTTCACAGAAGTATGGTATCTAAAACTATGCACATGTATGTTACGAACTTATCAAATGTAATAGCCGTCTCCAATAGTCCTGTGTTTCAATTTAAACAGGTGTATACACTCATCAGACTACAAAAACATACCCTATAATGTATTCATATGATGTAGTAACAGCAGGAAATTGATTTGATTTCAAATGTGAATTGGCTTAGTATAAATTGATTTCTTGTAAATATTTGTATTTCCTTCGTACAGTGCTTATATAAACCTACTTGCCCAAACGTTGTTACATTTCAATAGCAGTAAGGACCGTCACATATGAATGTTTCCAAACTCGACAATGATCGTGTTTCACTGTTTAAGTGATCGGGGATTATTTATGACTTTACGTCAAATTCAAATTATTACGAGAATTTCCTTACAATGATAACCAGATAATGTGGTTATGCAAAACAGTTGTTCAACCATTCATTATTAACAATGTTTATCTGGTCTTAGATATTAAAGTCGTTTATATATTAGAAAAGCATTTGATGATAAGATGATAAGATGAAAAAGTAAGATGAAAGAAACAATACCGTTGCTGCATCGGGTGTAGTTGCTCCAAAAAAGGCGACATCATCCCAGGTGGCGATAAATACCCAAGCCGCTACAAAGCTCGACTGGCTCGGATAAAACAGTCTTACGTCGTCTGTGGCTCTCTGAAGGATGGATGCACTTGTTGTTTCTCGATACCAAACCGTGCCGCCATTTCGTATGTCGACATCCGCCCAAAATGGGGCTATTAGCCGGCGTGAACCGCTCAGAGGGAAAGGATCAGGCGTGTATTGTGACAGGGTTCTCAGAAAGCTGATTACACCATTAGTATTTACCTTAAACAAGGACAAAAGACGGAATTACATTCAATTATACACTTGTTCTGACAAAAGCGTGCGCATGAAGCGCAGTTTTCAAAGTAATGAATATGTCAGATAGTAACGAAAATCGATCTTTGATCTTCAGGACAATAATTGAAAGGGAATTAAGCAGTTATAATGTTGGTTCCCCTGCCAGTCTAATCTTGTATTGTCGGGTTAGCTCTTGTACATCGATACTTAACCATTGACTACATATAAAGATTAAATCCACTTGGTCAAGGACTAAATACACAGGATCTGATCCTGGACTTAATATACTTGATCAAGGAAAGGTATCATTCTATGGCACCTGATCAAGAAATCACGACAAAATATGTGATCAACTACATGTGTCGAGATCAAAGATTTCGTGTGATCAAAATATGAATCACAAAATAATACTTGATCAAGAGATAAAATGAATAACATCAAAGTGGAAATTATCGCATTGTTGAAATACCTGCGTTTTTCGCGTTGCGTAAATCAGCACAAAAATGTCTACATTCGTATAAATATATATGGATAATGGATATAAAGAATATGTACATCGCAGAGTGATTGCCAACCCAAAATTGTCCACACCGCAATCAGTTTAAAGAGTAACAATGCGAACATTTCCACACCGCGTGAATACCCATACTTACAGTAAATAGTTCAATGCTTATTTAACACAGTGTGATGTCATGGTAATCGATTTTCCAAAGCTCAACTGTATAAAGCAAACACCATCCTTTTTCTTTGGTAACAGTGGTATTTAATTGATAATGTGCAACTATAACAGTCAGTTTACATGTATTTAAATAATAGCATGCATGTTTGAGTAATTTTCGTCTAGGCATTCACCTACAATTTATATATATATATATCAACAAATAAAGCGCTTCTAAAAGTAAATTATTGTCGTGTTAGGATCTTTATTGTCTCGTATTAATTATCTCTTTTCTTTCTGCTCAAAAACACAACATAAAATTAGATTGTTAAAACGTTCACTCAAAAATAACATTTTTTGTTTTTGATTTACTATCGTATACTTGGTGATTTTCCTTTTGTTTATATTGTTGATTAATTAGAATCAATATAAATTCGGTTAATACAGGCAAAGTAATTGTCGAAAAAATTAAAACAGTGCGAAGGCTGATGGGAATACATATTAAATGTTGAAAGTGTGATCTACTGTTACAAAAAAAAAAAAAAAAAAACCCCTNTCACTCGGGAGCAAAGATATGGTAATGGGGTGTCGTTTGATCCAGACACGTATACAGTTGTCCCAGTCTATATCAATACGAGTTCATATTACATTTATGTACAAAGAAGAATTTGTAATAGCGGTTGATCTTTAATGAGCGGTCGTTGATTTGGTTTAGAAATGGAAACAACGTCATTTTAAAGGGAGAGTAAGACTAACCAAAACAGTACAACAGTTTTATATATTTTTAACTAGTGTTTATACTTCATCGAAATTAAATAACATGGTTAAACATATTTAAAGAAAAATCAAATAATGAACCTAATGGTGTGTATGAATCTTGTTAAAAAGGCGCGGATCGCTCCTAATGTTTTACAACTCTACAAAGTATAAGTTGTTAAAAAAATTTAAAAAAAAGTTAGTTAGCTCTCGGAGTTTTTTTATGAATTACATTGAGATTTATAGTATAGTTGTTTATGTTTATACTAGTTACTTGTCCAATGGAATATAAAACTGACACGAAACTTTACAACACTTACGTATAAACTGTCGTGTTGGTTGTTAAAGAACGGGAACAGAGTACTGATAGTTACAACTGGTGAGCTGCCATCATCATTCTTAGGGAAGTCACTATCACCCTGCGATACTCCAAACGGGTAGAACTCAGCAAGTGGGATTCCATGAGACAGCTTTGTAAAAGAAAGTACCACAAGCCAGATATGTAGCAATGTGCACATCATGGCACATTAAGTGTGATCTTCCGAATAGGATCTTACAGGGGTGTGCTACTTATATAATCGTCACGTTCTTAATATAGGCGGCATGTTAAGAACCACCATTACTTGTGACATTATTTTTAGATATATACTTATATTTAGCGTATGTTTAAATGATGTGTCGATACGGATACTTCGAGATCGATATAAACAGAATATCAGTATCGACAAATCATTTAAACATAGGTAAAATGTACACGTAGCGCGAAAGTCAAAATAGTCAAATAATTTGAATGGAATATAATTAACCTGCATTAAAAAAACATAACTTAATTTATATTGCAAATCTGTTTGCTATAAAATGACTATACGAATGACGTGTTGTTATAATACTGTATGTATACGGCAACATTGCTGATTATTGTATAAAAAAACTGTAGTGAAAATTATGTGTCGTTATGATACTATATTATAAACAGAGCAACTGTCGTTCGTAAAAGACTATAAAAATGTTATATATCTTAATACTATATTTATACACCGTAATTAATATAATTGTTTAAAAAAGGCTTTAGTGAAATATGTGTTGTCATAATAGTATATGTCTATGGCGTGATTGATGTTAGTTAGATAAAGACGGTAGTGTATAGTGTGCTATCACAATACTTTTAAAATGTTTATGTCATAGATTCTTTTTTAGATAAAGATTATAGTGTATGAAAGGTCATTACATACTTTATGCACATATCATAAATGTTGTTTTTTGATAAAGTCTTTAGAATATGGTATGTAAGAACCTCGAATTATTATTATTAATTATGGTTTGCTATTATAAATGTTTGAGCATAAAGACTTAAGTGTTTGATGTGTTATAATAATATTTTATGTATGCATCATTTTTATGCTTCGCAGAGACTCAGCCATGCATAAAGACGAAGTAGGCGACACAATTTGCCGTCACAGTCCTTAATGACTTCCTACTGGAAAAGGGGACCGTATGTGACCCAATCCAGTGAATTGAACGGTACCGGTATTTTGGCGGATTACTATGCAAATATACGCAACAAAAAAGTAGAAATCTACACAAAGTTCTCTTATTGCCATTAGGCGAGGTTTGCGGCGGCATTTACAAGAACCATCACGCAGAGATTTCGATATTCCATTGTTTGTGCACCTTCTTCCAATTTTAGTAATTGTACCGATACAATTAACAACAATGAATGTTAAATGTTACGTTCAAATTGCCAGCTGTTGTTAATTATTAAATATGTTATCAATGCAGTTCCTCATGTTTGACTTTTTATTGTCAAATGACAGTCATGTGATGTACTAAATCTATTATGACCCTTTCCCTCGGGTACAGTTCTTTTATAATGTTTTCTGAGGCGGTATAGGGTCCAAGCGGTTAGGGCCATAATAAAATAGTATTATAATAACACGTAATTCACTATAGCCTTCATCAAATAAACACTAATAAAACACACCATTCACTATAGTCTTTGCCTAATAAAGTAAAAATGATGCATACATAAAGTATTATTGTAACACGTAATTAACTATAGCTATTAAACGATGGTTCTTAACACTGCACCCAACCAAGTACCTCTGAGCTAGGAAAAAAACATTCAGTTTGGGAATTTCTAGATATCACACGGTGTGTCAAATTTGATCCGCGCGGGGATAAGATCATTATCAAATTCCTGCCAACTTCCTGGTCTAACATATAACAATGCGTACACATGACAAACATTGAATACATAATACCAAAAATAGACATGACGCCGATTTTTCATGATAATGTCTAATAAATCTAATAGTCTAAAATATTTTGAAAGCTAAATAAAACATCCTTATTATCATCATTGGCAACTAAACGGGGGCGTTAGCGGAATAAATTGACTGGTGCAGATAACGTGAAGGTAATAACCATTTTATAACCAGTTGTCTGTCTTGATAAGAGCAACCCCGGTACGTACGTAAATAATCAACTAAAGATATGAGTAACGGGTTCGAAAACGGTAAAACATAACGTAACAGCCCGATAAATAGCTTGCACCTTAAACGAGTCACCTACAATTATATGGTATAGTGTAAAACGCAAAACCGAATGTAAATTGGAACCGGGGTCAATATAGAGCATGTGTTTGACGCAAGTGGAAATACCCCCGAATATGGAAACTAAAAGATTTTCATAATAATAATAATAATATACAACATTTATATAGTGCCCTATATAAATTGTTTATTACTCTAAAGCGCTTTACAACATATGGAAAATAGTAATAGTTATAATTGTGAAACAAAAACAAAGGCTTACAATCACTTTTATACATTTAAGCAAGCAATGTGCACATACACACACACAACATGTAATTGAACAAATGAAGGGTGGTATTTACATGACGTCTTTGCAGAGACCCTAAAATGGTCGTGACGGCTGATACCAGGTAACAATATCCTGTAGGTACTGAGGAGCTGTTATATTCAGTGCCTTGTATGTGTACACAAACATTTTGTACTGCGACCTGTATCGTACAGAAAACAAGTGCAATGAATATAGCACAGGTGTGATGTACTCTCTCTTTCGAGTACGAGTAACCAGCCGTGCTGCAGTGTTCTGGACCCTCTGCAGACGACTAGTTAGTTTGTCAGTTATACTACATAGCAGGGCGTTACCATAATCCAACCGAGAGGTAACAAGTGAATGCACCAATATCTTGCATGCATCTTCAGTTATAAACTGCCAAATGCAGCTGATGTTCCTGATCTGGTAGTAAAAGTATTTGGCAATAGCGTTCACTTGTTTCTCCATGTTCAATGAACTATCAAAGTATACCTCTAGGTTTTTTTAACAGCTGGGACAGTCTTAACAGTTCTGGCAGCGACCTTGAGCTGGAGACCCATTGTTTGATGACACTTTGGGGTAAAGACTATTAGTTCCGTCTTTTCCTGATTAAGCTTTTAGCATGTTGGCGTTCATCCAGGTACTGATATCTGTCAGACAAGCTTCAAGATTTTCTGAAACTGTATCCTAACAGTCCTGTGGTTTGATGACCATGTACGTTTGTGTGTAATAAGCATAGCAATGATAGCGAAGACTATGGCGACGACAAATCTCTCCAATCGGTTTAGAGTACAAACAATATTTTCGTGGTCCTAACACCGACCATTGAGGAACCCCGAAAGCTAGTATTTTATCATGTATCGTCGTTCACTCAGATAAGACTGTATCCAGCATAGTGCGGTATCAATTACTCCTTAAGAGTATTCACGACGTTTATAAAGTATGCCATGGTCGATGACGTCAAATGCAGATGACAAGTCCAGCACCGCTCTACACTTGTTATCCAATCCAGAAGCTATGTCATTACTGTATGTACAGTCTCAGTAGAGTGTCCCATGCGGTAGGCCGATTGCATGTTGCCATGGAGACTGTTTGCATGGAGATGAACCTCCAAACGCCGGGACACACCTTTCTCCAAAATCTTGGACAGAAAAGGCAGATTTGAAACTGGGCAGTAGTTCTTCAACTCCTCCTTTGTCCATTCCAGACTTCTTTAACAATGGTATAACATGTGCCTTCTTGAAACACAATTGAACCTTTGACTCATCCAATGATTTGTTCATAATTGAGGTAATCAAAGGAAGCAGTGATTCAAGACATTACTTTAATAGATCTGTAGACAGTGGATCAAGCTCACAGGACTTCGATTGCGAGGTCATAATAATATTGTGCAAATCGTCCTGGGTTGTTGGTAAGAGCTTTGCCAATGGTTTCCCCATCGAATTCAATGTCAGCAGTCATGACAGAGATATATTATTTCCTGTTTGAGCTGATTTTATTCAGAAAATAATCACTGAACTTGTTTGGTGAGGTTTTTTTCAGAATTACAGCTTGGTTGGATAATTTCACCTATCTGGCCTATGAGGGTTTTTTGTGAGTCTAGAAAGCTGTCTATTATCCTTACCACATTCTTCGATTCTTTCCGAATAATAAGCCGTCTTTGACTGAATGAGAAGTGAACCAACAAACCGGCATTGTTCCCTATTATTCTGTTGGTGAACGGTTAATTTGGTCCGTCGACCCTTTCTCTCTACCTTTCTACGGTTCTGTTTCTCTACGCAAAGATTTGTATTATACCACGGGGCATCCGGTCTCACAGTTATCACCTAAGTCTGCAGAGGTGCCTGCTTCTCTATAACGGCTTCTTTACCAAGATCATCAACCCCCACCTTCAGTAGATTGAAGGCGGAAGTAGACTGAATGTCATTGGTGAAATCTGGTATTGTAATTAAGTATATTATACAATATAATACACGTTTGATAAGTTTACAATTCTATTCAGGTATTATTTGCAGATTTCGAGACTGAAAGGGCTAACTTTCAAACATCTGTGAATGCAGACTAAGGAAAAGAATACGAAGAAAAAATGGTGACAGTTGAAATAACGTAACAATTACACAGTACATATATAGTTTTTCACACATAACTCCCTACAGGCTCGGGGAAAGAAAAGGCCTGTTGTATCCTACTGCATATAATGATTGACCTACTGCCCCCATTGCAATACTTTGGATCTAGATCTTATCTATGCCCTACTCATCTGATATCTGTTCGAGTGGTGTCACCCTTGGCACTCTTAAAGGGTCACTAGCCCGACCATATGGGGTATTCCTCGGGCAATCCAGTGTCCACCCACATTAAGACCCAACGCGCCCTTAATGTAAGTTCAAATTACTTTTTTCATAATTGATGTGGACTTAATGAAGTTTATATTATAAGGCACCACCTGTCCTCATATTGCCTGACAAGGACGTTAAAACCCATATACATAAACCAACATATAACAGAAACATATTTTAATGTTTGTCATTCATGTATATTACAAATATATGTAGTAACTTCACTACCATGACACACCTTATCTGTTCTGTTAATTCGATTGGATTGGACAATATTTGTTTTGCTCAGTCAACCGAAGGGTCGTTTTTCGTGGATGACTTCTTGATCTGTTACAGATCTAAGAACATGCAAACGATAGAAAGACAACTTCAACAGAGTTTA